TATCTGAACGTGCAAGATATTTATACGATTGTTTGAGATGAGGTTTCTCTCTTTCTCCCGCTGTGTTTCTGACTGGTTTCTCTCTGGTGCAGGAGAGTCTGAGGACACTGATGATCCGGGACTTTAAAGGACGTTTGGTAATATCTCTCTCTCTCTGTGTCTCTCTGTCTCTTTCTCTCTCTCTTTAAGTCTGTGTCCTGTCTGTGTTTTTCTGTCTGTCGCTCTGTGTCTCTCTCTCCATCTGTCGCTCTGTCTGTGTCTGTCTGTCTGTCTCTGTCTCTCTCTCTGTCTCTCTCTCTGTCTCTCTCTCTGTCTCTCTCTCTGTCTCTCTCTCTGTCTCTCTCTCTGTCTCTCTCTGTGTCTCTGTCTCTTCGTGTCTCTGTCTCTTCGTGTCTCTCTTTCTCTCTCTATTTAAGTCTGTGTCCTGTCTCTCTGTCTCTCTCTCTCTGTCTCTCTGTCTCACTCTGTCTCTTTCTCTGTCTCTCTCTCTCACTGTCTCCCTCTGTCTGTCTGTCTCTCTGTCTCACTCTGTCTCTCTCTCTCTCTCTGTCTCTCTCTCACTGTCTGTCTCCCTCTGTCTCTCTCTCTCTCTGTCTGTCTCTGTCTCTCTCTGTCTCTCACTCACAGACGCTCTCGGCCTTAACAACAAAACTATTGCCCCAATTGGATAAAAGTCTAGTTTTGACTCCCGCCTGTTTTTAGTCCAATTTATTTGAGCAGAAAAATAGTAGATTTCTGTAAAAAACGTCTTCATCAAAAGCAAATAATTATCACAGAAACGAGAAACACAATCAAACCAGAAACACGGCGGAACCAAACCGTGATGTCCGACTCCAGAGACCAGCGCCGGACTTTTTTTACAGCGGTTCTTGGAGCGTCTTTATGATCATATATTTATCAAGGCGGCGAGTCACTGCGCGGGGACTGCCATTAAATTTACACCTGGACCCAGAGGAGCCCAGGCCGCCGCTTCCACGCCGCGAGCCCAGATAAAAGCCAGAAGAGAAGGACCGCCAATGACAGAGAAGCTGGTTCCAGTGGGCAAAGTTTTGAGGAAAACTAATAAGGCATGTGACGTGAGTGAAGTTTCAAAAGAGCGTTCAAAAAGGACATTCTGAGGCGGCGTGTGAATGAGAGGAGCCCGCGTCGCCAATTAAACCGGGAGCTGTGTGTAGTTTATGCTAATGGCAAAGGCTGAGCTAAAGAACAAGTACCATTGGCCCAAAACACAATCTGGAGAAGATTAACTTTGGTCTTTCATGTGTTAGGATGTGTGTGATGTAGTAGACTGATGTGACGGAGAGATTAATGGAGTATGAGATGACTGCGCTTCGCCAACGCTGACCTCTGGTGGTAGATGTGGTATTACAGGCTTACTGCACAGACAGATACAACTCAGAGGCCTAAGGAGGGAGTAGGGGGATCAGAGAGAGAGACCAGAGAGACATAGAGGGAGAGACCAGAGAGAGACCAGAGAGAGACTAGAGAGAGACCAGAGAGAGACCAGAGAGAGAGACCAGAGAGACATAGAGGGAGAGACCAGAGAGGGACCAGAGAGAGACCAGAGAGAGACCAGAGAGAGAGACCAGAGAGAGAGACCAGAGAGACATAGAGGGAGAGACCAGAGAGGGACCAGAGAGAGATCAGAGAGAGACCAGAGAGAGAGACCAGAGAGAGAGACCAGAGAGAGACCAGAGAGACATAGAGGGAGAGACCAGAGAGGGACCAGAGAGAGACCAGAGAGAGACCAGAGAGAGAGACCAGAGAGACATAGAGGGAGAGACCAGAGAGGGACCAGAGAGAGACCAGAGAGACATAGAGGGAGAGACCAGAGAGAGACCAGAGAGAGACTAGAGAGAGACCAGAGAGAGAGACCAGAGAGAGACCAGAGAGACATAGAGGGAGAGACCAGAGAGGGACCAGAGAGAGACCAGAGAGAGACCAGAGAGAGAGACCAGAGAGAGAGACCAGAGAGACATAGAGGGAGAGACCAGAGAGGGACCAGAGAGAGACCAGAGAGAGACCAGAGAGAGAGACCAGAGAGAGAGACCAGAGAGACATAGAGGGAGAGACCAGAGAGGGACCAGAGAGAGATCAGAGAGAGACCAGAGAGAGAGACCAGAGAGAGACCAGAGAGACATAGAGGGAGAGACCAGAGAGGGACCAGAGAGAGACCAGAGAGAGACCAGAGAGAGAGACCAGAGAGACATAGAGGGAGAGACCAGAGAGGGACCAGAGAGGGACCAGAGAGAGACCAGAGAGAGACATAGAGGGAGAGACCAGAGAGAGACCAGAGAGAGACTAGAGAGAGACCAGAGAGAGACCAGAGAGAGAGACCAGAGAGACATAGAGGGAGAGACCAGAGAGGGACCAGAGAGAGAGACCAGAGAGAGACCAGAGAGAGAGACCAGAGAGAGAGACCAGAGAGAGACATAGAGGGAGAGACCAGAGAGGGACCAGAGAGAGATCAGAGAGAGACCAGAGAGAGACCAGAGAGAGACCAGAGAGACATAGAGGGAGAGACCAGAGAGGGACCAGAGAGAGACCAGAGAGAGACCAGAGAGAGACCAGAGAGAGAGACCAGAGAGACATAGAGGGAGAGACCAGAGAGGGACCAGAGAGGGACCAGAGAGACATAGAGGGAGAGACCAGAGAGGGACCAGAGAGAGACCAGAGAGAGACCAGAGAGAGAGACCAGAGAGACATAGAGGGAGAGACCAGAGAGGGACCAGAGAGGGACCAGAGAGGGACCAGAGAGAGACCAGAGAGAGACCAGAGAGACACCAGAGAGAGACCAGAGAGACATAGAGGGAGAGACCAGAGAGGGACCAGAGAGAGAGACCAGAGAGAGACATAGAGGGAGAGACCAGAGAGAGACCAGAGAGACATAGAGGGAGAGACCAGAGGGACCAGAGAGAGAGACCAGAGAGACATAGAGGGAGAGACCAGAGAGGGACCAGAGAGAGAGACCAGAGAGAGACCAGAGAGAGACCAGAGAGAGACCAGAGAGAGACCAGAGAGACACCAGGGAGAGACCAGAGAGAGACCAGAGAGAGAGACCAGAGAGAGACCAGAGAGAGAGACCAGACAGACATAGAGGGAGAGACCAGAGAGGGACCAGAGAGAGACCAGAGAGAGACCAGAGAGAGACCAGAGAGACATAGAGGGAGAGACCAGAGAGGGACCAGAGAGAGACCAGAGAGAGACCAGAGAGAGACCAGAGAGACATAGAGGGAGAGACCAGAGAGGGACCAGAGAGAGACCAGACAGAGAGACCAGAGAGAGAGAAACCAGAGAGACAAGAGAGAGAGACCAGAGAGAGAGACCAGAGAGAGAGACCAGAGAGATACCAGAGAAACATAGAGGGAGAGACCAGAGAGAGACCAGAGCGAGAGAAACCAGAGAGACCAGAGAGAGAGACCAGAGAGACATAGAGGGAGAGACCAGAGAGAGACCAGAGAGAGAGAAACCAGAGAAACATAGAGGGAGAGACCAGAGAGAGAGAAACCAGAGAAACATAGAGGGAGAGACCAGAGGGAGACCACAGAGAGGGACCAGAGATAGACCAGAGAGAGGGACCAGAGAGAGAGACCAGAGAGAGACCAGAGAGAGACCATGGTGAGGCCCTTGTGATAGACCAGAAAGAGAGAGATACTAGAGAGAGAGAGAGAGCAGAGATAGACCCTAGAGAGAGACCTTAGAGAGGCCATTGAGATAGACCAGAAAAAGAGACTAGAGAGACAAGAAAGACACCAGAGAGAGACCAAAGCCAAGGGACCAGAGAGAGACCAAAGCCAAGGGACCAGAGAGAGACCAAAGCCAAGGGACCAGAGAGAGACCAAAGCCAAGGGACCAGAGAGAGACCAAAGCCAAGGGACCAGAGAGAGACCAAAGCCAAGGGACCAGAGGGATCCAGGACTCAGTCTGTAGATTCATGGGTGGAGCTAAAACAACTTGTAATATGTTAAAAACTCTAGAGAAAAGCAGAATTCTTTCCATAATCAAATAGATACTCTTTAAAATCCATGTCAGACCCGTTCTGGTCCTGCTCCCAGTGTGCCCCGAGTCCAACGGTCCCAAACACATCAGGATCTGCACCAAAAGGACTGAGGCTGCAGAATAAATGTGAAAAAGGCAGAACACGGCAGGATCAAACCTTTCCATGTGCCGCAGCTTCGTAAAACTCCAAGTGTGTATTTTCAAGTCCTGTGTGTATTTATTTATATATTTATTTATATGTATGTACGTCGCGCGCCACAGGGGCCGGTCATCAAACGCACTCAGCAGCCGCTGGGAGCCCCACATTCGGGGCCTCGTAAAAAGCAACAGCAAAACAAGAGGAAAAACAGCAGAGCAGGAGGCCAAGGCACAGCGGAGGAGAGCAGTGCATCATGGGAGAGGAGAGGCTACTGTTATATGATATTACAGATTTATACTAGCTTCTTTATGATGCTAAAGCTAGAGATTTTATACTAGCTTCTTTATGATGCTAAAGCTAGAGATTTTATACTAGCTTCTTTATTATGCTAAAGCTAGAGATTTTATACTAGCTTCTTTATTATGCTAAAGCTAGAGATTTTATACTAGCTTCTTTATTATGCTAAAGCTAGAGATGTTAGTCCTTCACAGCCGCCCCACTGACACACCTGGTGTTGCCAAAGGTCTCCCATCACCGCACTAACCAGGCCCTGCCCTGCTTAGCTTCAGAGCTGACTGGATCTGGCTTTCACCTGCAGGTGGGGCTACAATACAATTTAACAATAAGACATTAAAGCCTTAACACATGGTCCAGAGCAGACTTGAGTCCAGTCCAGTCCGCTTCACAGAACAACGAGAAAACACATTTATCAGCCCGGTCTCGGCGCACACGCAGCTTAACCTTGGTGCGCCTGGAGGTTCCCCCCCTTTACCCCTGGGTGCTCGGGAGGTTGTTTTGGGGGCGCGGGCCGAGGTCAGCTGATGTAATGAAGCGCGGCGAGAGGGGAGCGGGATGAAAGAGAATGGCAGATGCAGACGGACGCTCTTACAATGACCAGCTATCGACGGACGAACCCCACAGACCCGCGGCCCAGGCCCTGAGGCGCGCCCACGGACTACACCGCTCATGGATCGCAGCCGCACGGACTACACCGCACGGACCGGGGAGCTGCACACGCAACAGGGATCCATGTGAGTGCGTCTGCTCGGGGGTATCAAACACACATGGCTGCTTTTGTGCCTTTTGTGAAGAACTGAACTGAAGATTTCTCTGTGTCTGACTGTGTCTGACTGTGTCTGACTGTGTCTGACTGTGTTTGACTGTGTCTGACTGTGTTTGACTGTGTCTGACTGTGTCTGACTGTGTCTGACTGTGTTTGACTGTGTCTGACTGTGTTTGACTGTGTTTGACTGTGTCTGACTGTGTCTGACTGTGTCTGACTGTGTTTGGCTGTGTTTGACTGTGTTTGACTGTGTCTGACTGTGTCTGACTGTGTCTGACTGTGTCTGACTGTGTTTGACTGTGTCTGACTGTGTCTGACTGTGTCTGACTGTGTCTGACTGTGTCTGACTGTGTCTGACTGTGTCTGACTGTGTCTGACTGTGTCTGACTGTTTGACTGTGTTTGACTGTGTCTGACTGTGTTTGACTGTGTCTGACTGTGTCTGACTGTGTCTGACTGTGTTTGACTGTGTTTGACTGTGTCTGACTGTGTATGACTGTGTTTGACTGTGTCTGACTGTGTTTGACTGTGTCTGACTGTGTCTGACTGTGTTTGACTGTGTCTGACTGTGTCTGACTGTGTCTGACTGTGTTTGACTGTGTTTGACTGTGTCTGACTGTGTTTGACTGTGTTTGACTGTGTTTGACTGTGTCTGACTGTGTTTGACTGTGTCTGACTGTGTCTGACTGTGTTTGACTGTGTCTGACTGTGTTTGACTGTGTCTGACTGTGTTTGACTGTGTCTGACTGTGTTTGACTGTGTCTGACTGTGTTTGACTGTGTCTGACTGTGTTTGACTGTGTTTGACTGTGTCTGACTGTGTCTGACTGTGTTTGACTGTGTTTGACTGTGTTTGACTGTGTCTGACTGTGTTTGACTGTGTCTGACTGTGTTTGACTGTGTCTGACTGTGTCTGACTGTGTTTGACTGTGTTTGACTGTGTCTGACTGTGTCTGACTGTGTTTGACTGTGTTTGACTGTGTCTGACTGTGTTTGACTGTGTTTGACTGTGTTTGACTGTGTCTGACTTTGTCTGACTGTGTCTGACTGTGTTTGACTGTGTCTGACTGTGTCTGACTGTGTTTGACTGTGTTTGACTGTGTCTGACTGTGTCTGACTGTGTTTGACTGTGTTTGACTGTGTCTGACTGTGTTTGACTGTGTTTGACTGTGTCTGACTGTGTCTGACTGTGTTTGACTGTGTTTGACTGTGTCTGACTGTGTTTGACTGTGTTTGACTGTGTCTGACTGTGTCTGACTGTGTCTGACTGTGTCTGACTGTGTTTGACTGTGTTTGACTGTGTTTGACTGTGTCTGACTGTGTCTGACTGTGTCTGACTGTGTCTGACTGTGTTTGACTGTGTTTGACTGTGTTTGACTGTGTCTGACTGTGTCTGACTGTGTTTGACTGTGTTTGACTGTGTTTGACTGTGTCTGACTTTGTCTGACTGTGTCTGACTGTGTTTGACTGTGTTTGACTGTGTTTGACTGTGTTTGACTGTGTACGGACGCTCTCTGAATATTGTACACAGAAATGATGGATGTTTTCTGAATGTAGAATGAATGAAGGGGGTGGAGGGAGGTCTGAGGGAGAAACCTGTCCTGTGTGTGTTAATAATGATAATAACTTATAATACAATAGATTACATTCTCTCTCTGGTCTCTCTCTCTGGTCTCTCTCTCTCTGGTCTCTCTCTCTCTGGTCTCTCTCTCTCTGGTCTCTCTCTCTCTGGTCTCTCTCTCTCTGGTCTCTCTCTCTGGTCTCTCTCTCTGGTCTCTCTCTCTGGTCTCTCTCTCTGGTCTCTCTCTCTGGTCTCTCTCTCTGGTCTCTCTCTCTGGTCTCTCTCTCTGGTCTCTCAGACCTCTGAAGCTAAGCAGGACAGGGCCTGGTTAGTGCGGTGATGGGAGACCTCTGAACAGCAGGTGCCCCAGTGAGGTGGCTGTAAAGTGCCAAACTGTGGTTGTGTCCTTTGGCAAGACACTTCCCCCACATTAGAATGAGTCTGGTGTGTGTGTGAATGGTTGGTGGTGGTGGGAGGGGCCTCGCTTCTGTCAGTGTGCCCCATGGCAGCTGTGGCTACAGTAGAAGTGTTCAGGAAAGCGCTGTATAAAACCAACGCATTTATATACTTATTTTATTGCTTAAAAAAAACACACAAAAAAAACAAATCAATTCAAATGAAGAGAATATGTCAGAGTATTTTCCAGTATCAAACTTTTAACCTTCATAAATAAATCATGGCACTTCCTGTTTCCACACAGACATGTTTGTCCTCCTTCACCTGCGCACACACAACCTCTGCGTTAGTATTCACACGGCTCCACTCTCTACATCCTATATTTATCACACACAGACAAACCTATGGAGCTTTACCTATAGCCCCGCTGCATTGTGGGAAAGCTGATTAGCATGAAGCGCAGGGGTTCGGCTAGCCTCTGAGCAGCCCTGACCTGAACCTGCGCACATGCTAGCGCGCCCGCGGCTCTGTGTGCGCGGCGGCGTCACGGCCGGAGCGTGGAGAGGCAGCTCACACGGAGGATAGGTGAGGGAGGGAGGGAGGGAGGGAAGGAGGGGGGGGGGGGGGGGGGAGTGAGGGATGGAGGGGGGGAGGGGAGCTGCCTCGAACGATGGTGAAATCACGGGAAAAACGTCCACTGGATTCAAAGGTTAAAAATGGAAAGGGTTAAACTGGGCGGAACCTGCACCTCCTCCAAGGCCTGGGAACCTCCTGAGTCCTGGGTCTACAGCCTCAGTCCTGGGTCTACAGTCTAAGTCCTGGGTCTACAGCCTCAGTCCTGGCTCTACAGCCTCAGTCCTGGGTCTACAGCCTCAGTCCTGGGTCTACAGCCTCAGTCTACAGCCTCAGTCCTGGGTCTACAGCCTCAGTCCTGGGTCTACAGCCTCAGTCCTGGGTCTACAGCCTCAGTCCTGGGTCTACAGCCTCAGTCCTGGGTCTACAGCCTCAGTCCTGGGTCTACAGCCTCAGCACAGGGACTCAGGGTCCTGTGTGGTCTCTCTCAGGTCTCAGATTGGACTTCATATGAAACACATGGACGTCAGGTCTCTGCACTGGGCTCGGCCGAACACTCTCCAGCCTCAGACTCAGAGAACACAGACCAGGACCACGGGACCAGAGGAAAACCACTGCAGTCTGTATTCGTTTTGGCAGAATGTTGACTTAAAGCTGGGGTCCCTAACTTCATTTCATTTGTCTCAACTGTTTTCAACACATCAAACCACAACATGTCTTCATCAATTAAATACACTCTCTCTCTGGTCTCTCTCTCGGGTCTCTCTCTCGGGTCTCTCTCTCGGGTCTCTCTCTCGGGTCTCTCTCTCGGGTCTCTCTCTCTGGTCTCTCTCTCTGGTCTCTCTCTCTCTGGTCTCTCTCTCTCTGGTCTCTCTCTCTGGTCTCTCTCTCTGGTCTCTCTCTCTGGTCTCTCTCTCTCTGGTCTCTCTCTCTCTGGTCTCTCTCTCTCTGGTCTCTCTCTCTCTGGTCTCTCTCTCTCTGGTCTCTCTCTCTCTGGTCTCTCTCTGGTCTCTCTCTCTCTGGTCTCTCTCTCTCTGGTCTCTCTCTCTGGTCTCTCTCTCTGGTCTCTCTCTCTCTGGTCTCTCTCTCTCTGGTCTCTCTCTCTCTGGTCTCTCTCTCTCTGGTCTCTCTCTCTCTGGTCTCTCTCTCTCTGGTCTCTCTCAGAATTTGAACCAACTTTCAGCTCACATCAGGCCACGCATCAAACAACTGCAAGAACAGGAATAACCGGCTTCCATATTGTGCAGCAACCCTCCTCCTCCCCATCACCGCCGCACCAGCCCCAGACCAGGCCCAGACCAGCCCCAGACCAGCCCCAGACCAGCCCTAGACCAGCCCCACCAGAGTCCGCAGAGTCTCACGAACAACGACAGACCCCAGACCAACCCAGAAATACATTAAACTCCTCTGTCTGTTTGAATCTCTCCCACTTTAAATATATCCTTATTATGCAAATGAGGGAACTATAGCCGTCTTTTCCCGCCTGTGAAGAATGTTGTGGTGTTTCACGTTGATTGTGTACCATGTGAAGGATGTTGTGGTGTTTCACGTTGATTGTGTACCATGTGAAGGATGTTGTGGTGTTTCACGTTGATTGTGTACCATGTGAAGGATGTTGTGGTGTTTCACGTTGATTGTGTTCACGTAGATCAATAAAAACAAATATTTCCCCAAATCTAAAATCTAAGACCTGGTGAAGCTGGTGTTATTCTTATTTAATGTGCGTCTGTGTGTTTGTCTCTGTAGATGTGTGTGTGTCTGTAAGTGTGTGTGTATGCGTGTGTCTCTGTATGTGTGTGTCTGTCTGACTGTCTCTATGTGTGTGTGTCTCTGTATGTATGTATACGTCGGTATGTGTGTATATGTGTGTGTGTCTGTCCGTGTGTATGTGTCTCTGTGTGTGTCTGTCTATATGTGTCTCTGTGTGTGTTTGTGTGTGTGTGTATGTCTGTGTATGTGTTGAGAAGTGTTGAAGCTGGCGTTATTTTCATTTCCTGTGATGTGTCCGTGTCTCGGTGTGTGTCTCTCTGTGCGTGTGTGTATCTGTGTCTCTATGCATGTGTGTGTATATATGTGTGTGTGTGTGTGTCTGGACCCGTCACCGTGGCGACAGGCTTTGACAGGCCGAGCACACAACCCGAAGTTTACCTCGTACAGCAAGCATCCCAGCGACCAGATGTCAGATTTGAAGTTGTATCCGTTTTCGTGTATCCGCTCCGGTGACATGTAGTAAGGAGTCCCCACTACAGAGGGGGGGGGGGGGGGGGGGGGGAGAGAGGGGGAGGGAGGGGAGGAGGGGGGAGGGGGGAGAGAGAGAGACAAGTATTGTTAGCCTTTTTTCATCAATATTACTGATCCGGCTTCTGCGTGGAGTGCACTGTCTCCAACTGTGACACCGGGAAACTCACCCAGAGGAAAGAACTAAAGTTGTGGAGAGTGGAGAGAGAGAGCAGAGAGAGAGAGAGAGAGCGGAGAGAGAGAGAGAGCAAAGAGAGAGAGAGCGGAGAGAGAGAGAGCGGAGAGAGAGAGAGAGCAGAGAGAGAGCAGAGAGAGAGAGAGTGGAGATAGAAAGAGCAGAGAGAGCAGAGCGAGCGAGAGACCACTTTGAATCTTTGATATGTTTTACATCCTCAGTCTCCCTCTGGTCTCTCTCCCTCTCTGGTCTCTCTCCCTCTCTGGTCTCTCTCTCTCTCTGGTCTCTCTCTCTCTCTGGTCTCTCTCTGGTCTCTCTCTCTCTCTGGTCTCTCTCTGGTCTCTCTCTGGTCTCTCTCTCTGGTCTCTCTCTCTCTGGTCTCTCTCTCTCTCTGGTCTCTCTCTCTCTCTGGTCTCTCTCTCTCTCTGGTCTCTCTCTCTCTCTGGTCTCTCTCTCTCTCTGGTCTCTCTCTGGTCTCTCTCTCTCTGGTCTCTCTCTGGTCTCTCTCAGAAAGCATGAATCTCATAGTAAACAGCAGTCTCCAAGTGGTCCACAGACACAGACAGTTTATTTGCAGTAAAACCACATTGGAATAACTGTGCAAAAGTCCCAGTTTGCATCAGACAAGTACATACATAAAACAAAATTGTCACTGATATCAATAAAAACAGTTTGAATACAAATGCTTTGATGGTTACAGTAGTGCCCTGTCTCTGTGAGGCTGACACACACACACAGACACAGAGACACACACACACACAGACACACACACACAGAGACAGACACACACACACAGAGACACACACACACACAGAGACAGACACACACACACAGAGACAAACACACACACACACACACACACACACACAGAGACAGACACACACACATAAATCAGTTGTGATTAGTGCGAGCTGTGATGATCTGAAACAGCAGTGGAGGGGGGAGAGGGGGGAGAGGGGGGGAGAGGGGGGGGAGAGGGGGGGGCTGCCCAGTGATGTCTTAAATGTTTTCTGGTTCTGCTTTTGAAACTCAAGAATCGTGCATCAAAACTGCAGCAGCGACGCACAGAAGAAGCACACACTACACAAACTAACACGACGCACAGAAGAAGCACACACTACACAAACTAACACGACGCACAGAAGAAGCACACACTACACAAACTAACAACACACAGAAGAAGCACACACTACACAAACTAACACGACGCACAGAAGAAGCACACACTACACAAACTAACACGACACACAGAAGAAGCACACACTACACAAACTAACACAACACACAGAAGAAGCAGAAGTGGGAGGGTCTGAGGGCCGTGGGGGGGTCTGAGGGCCGTGGGGGGGTCTGAGGGCCGTGGGGGGGTCTGAGGGCCGTGGGGGGGTCTGAGGGCCGTGGGAGGGTCTGAGGACCGTGGGGGGGTCTGAGGACCGTGGGGGGGTCTGAGGGCCGTGGGAGGGTCTGAGGGACCGTGGGGGGGTCTGAGGGCCGTGGGGGGGTCTGAGGGCCGTGGGAGGGTCTGAGGACCGTGGGGGGGTCTGAGGGCCGTGGGGGGGTCTGAGGGCCGTGGGGGGGTCTGAGGGCCGTGGGAGGGTCTGAGGACCGTGGGGGGGTCTGAGGGCCGTGGGAGGGTCTGAGGACCGTGGGGGGGTCTGAGGGCCGTGGGGGGGTCTGAGGGCCGTGGGAGGGTCTGAGGACCGTGGGGGGGTCTGAGGGCCGTGGGGGGGTCTGAGGGCCGTGGGGGGGTCTGAGGACCGTGGGGGGGTCTGAGGGCCCTGGGAGGGTCTGAGGACCGTGCGAGGGTCTGAGGACCGTGGGGGGGTCTGAGGACCGTGCGAGGGTCTGAGGGCCGTGGGGGGGTCTGAGGACCGTGGGGGGGTCTGAGGGCCGTGGGGGGGTCTGAGGGCCGTGGGGGGGTCTGAGGGCCGTGGGAGGGTCTGAGGACCGTGGGGGGGTCTGAGGGCCGTGGGAGGGTCTGAGGACCGTGGGGGGGTCTGAGGACCGTGGGGGGGTCTGAGGGCCGTGGGAGGGTCTGAGGACCGTGGGGGGGTCTGAGGGCCGTGGGGGGGTCTGAGGGCCGTGGGGGGGTCTGAGGACCGTGGGGGGGTCTGAGGGCCCTGGGAGGGTCTGAGGACCGTGCGAGGGTCTGAGGACCGTGGGGGGGTCTGAGGACCGTGGGGGGGTCTGAGGACCGTGGGGGGGTCTGAGGACCGTGCGAGGGTCTGAGGGCCGTGGGGGGGTCTGAGGACCGTGGGAGGGTCTGAGGGCCGTGGGGGGGTCTGAGGACCGTGGGGGGGTCTGAGGGCCGTGCGAGGGTCTGAGAGCCGTGGGGGGGTCTGAGGACCGTGCGAGGGTCTGAGGACCGTGGGGGGGTCTGAGGGCCGTGGGGGGGTCTGAGGGCCGTGGGGGGGTCTGAGGGCCGTGGGAGGGTCTGAGGGCCGTGGGGGGGGTCTGAGGGCCGTGGGGGGGTCTGAGGGCCGTGGGGGGGTCTGAGGACCGTGGGGGGGTCCGAGGGCCGTGGGGGGGGTCTGAGGACCGTGGGGGGGTCTGAGGGCCGTGGGGGGGTCTGAGGGAAAAGTGCAAAGTACAGATCATTTGT